AGCAATTGGCGATCATGTGAGAAGAATGGATTGTATTGTCGTCTTTGTAGTAGGACTGTTAACTGTTGTTTAAAGAACTTCTCTAACCTTTCATGCAAATCCCGCCACCACCGCTCTATCTTATTGCTTGTTGATGGACCATATATCACAGAATCTGTAGGGTCATTCATAATTCCAGATTTGTTTATGAGATATGTGTGAATAGTAGCCATCTTACCAGTTTCAGTTCCTCTGTCAATTCTCAGATACCTAGGAAGGGCCTTTGTTTCGAACAGATGTCGAAGGTACATCTTACCCACTACAAAAGGATTTGAGTTCGAAGTGCACACAAATAAAAACAAAATCTTTCGAGAAAAAGTATCAATACATCCATATATGCCAAGAGGAAATGTCCAGTTTTGGTAACCGCATAGCTTGTCATGTCCATCTAACGACACTACCCACAATGGACCTGCCGAAGTAAAGTGTCCTTTTGGCTTTTTCCTTTTCTTTTGAAGGTTTCTTGCCTCTAGACCTGCTGGGTCTAAGTTTGCCATCATATTATGGACTAGATGTCTTGGCACTTGTACTTTGTGTTCTGTTCGCAGTTTTTGGTTCATGGCTCTATAGCCCAAAAGTCGTCCAGGCCCATCCAATTTTTTTTGTACAGCATCTGCTACCACAGCAAGTGGAGTATCATAATCAATATAGTGAATATCAAAGTAACGAAGACGTCTATCAAGAGTAGCAAGACTCCATGAATACTGCGAATAATCACGTCGTACAAAATCAAGTACTTCAGATCGTCGTAAATTTTGACTAACATAACTCTTCAAGTCGTGCTGAAGCTCAGCATTACCCTTCCAGTCGATATTTCCAGCCATAAATACTGTACAAGTATTTATTAAAAACAAACAAGCAGCACTGCTGCTGCAGCAGTGTTGAGCGAATTGACGATAAATTGACTATTACTGGCAAATACCATTGAACTATAAATAAACTGGAAGGCTAACTGCTATGATGAAGGCCTATGATTTGATGAAGCCAAAATAGTTTTTCTGAGTTATGAGCAGAAATACTTGACCCCAAACGTCGGCCTATATATCAAATTGAAGCTGTTGAAAATTGCTATTCGGTGTGGAAATTTCAAGACTTCAGCGAAAAGAAAAATCTTTAAAAAATACAAAAACAACTGCAAAACGGCAAATTATCGGTAATTATGTTTGTAGTTTTTCAATATTTCCCTTTTAGCTAAAGTCTTGAAATTTCTACACCAAATAGAGTTTTTCAGTTCAATTTGATATATAGCCCAACGTTCAGTGTTGAGTATTTCTGCTCATAACTCAGAAAAACTAAAATGCACTGGCTTCAATTTCCCCCCCTGAGTTAGCCTTCCAGTTTATTTATAGTTCAATGGCAAATACTAGCATACTAGCACAACAACATCACAGAATAGGAAGTTATACCAGAAGCGTAACTCTAGTCGTTTCCCTTATTGTTTGACGTCCACGAAAATTTTAACTCGCTCACGTCAGGCCACGCCATCCTGGCTAGTACAGCCGGAAGTTTTTATCAGGATTTGGTAGGTACAAAGTGCCGGTTGTACTAGCCAGGATGGCGTGATTGATGACGAATCGCTTGTAAAAACGTGGACAAATATTTGCTCGAGTTACGCTTCTGGTATAACTTCCTATTCTGTGACAACATGGCGGTCAAAATGGCGGGAAATTAAATTAGAACCCAGTCTTTACGGAGTGAATTGATAACGCTGGGCCGTTCGAAAAAAAAAATCGAAAAATCGAACGGGCTGTCGGCCCAGCGTTATCAATTCAATTTTAATTTATTTCTTTAAACTGTTGCATTTTTAATATTTTTTTTTAAATTTAAAATAATAAATATTATATATTATATTATATTATTAAATTTGTCACAAATATTTACAATGACACTGATAAACAATATACATAACAAGCTACAAGACAACACACGTGACTGGAATGTGGAACAGGACTTACGTCCCAATTAATACCTCACCCCATATATACTTCATAGGCACTTTCTCGGTGTGAGAACAAACGAAAGCTTAACACTAATCTGAACTTGATCATTATATAAATTCTAACTGATTAACGGTTGTTCGTACACCGAGCTAGTGGGTGAACTTTACTGAACTGAACTAAATACTTAGTACTTATATTACAAACATTTTCTTCACAAAACTAAATATTAGCTCCGGTTATTGGGAAGTTTGTATGATTTTGACTTGATACTATATAAGTTATTTAAACGAGTTTTAAACGAACATAAACTACTGGATTTCTTAATTTCAGTTGGTAGGCTGTTCCAAAGTTTTGCTGATCTAATAAAGTAAGAGTTTTGAAAGTATTCCTGATTATGTTTTATAATGAGGTGGAAGTTATTTTCGTCATAGTTGCGAGATTGATAGCTGGGATTGTAAGTGCATAAATATTTGTTTATATCAATTGTTATGAGGTGGTGTTTGGATTTGAACAGCAGTATCAGATCAGAAAGTTCTCTTCGGAATTCCAGTGGTAGGAGATTTGTTTTCTGCAACCGGTCCACGTACGACATGTCAGGATAATTCAAGATAAATTTTGTGGCCCGCCGTTGAACATTCTCGATGAGCAAACAATGCTTAATGGTGTAAGGCGACCACACGCTGCTTGCGTATTCTAGCTTGGGTCTTACCAGCGCACAATACAGAATTCTTCTTGTGTTGGTATTCTTCACTTCTTTACAAATCCTTTTGATGAGACCAAGTGTTTTATTAGCCTTGGATACAATGCTTTCCATGTGTTTCGACCAGGATAGGTTGTTGGATATGAGCACACCAAGGTCCTTAAAGGTCGACACTTGTTCGAGTATGTTCTCATTGATTGAATACTGAGTTCGCGTAGGTGCTCTTTTTCTTGAGAAGTGCATGGTCTTACATTTTGTTGCGTTTAGTTCCATTTGATTATCAGCAGTCCAGTTTGTTATATTGGAAAGATCAAGCTGAAGTAAAGTGGAAGATGTGGGAAACAAAAGTGGTCGGTAAAGCTTTGAATCGTCCGCAAATAACGCAAGTGTAGAATTATTTTCGATGTAGGTTGGAATGTCGTTACAGTAAACAAGGAATAGCAAGGGCCCGAGTATAGAACCTTGTGGCACACCTGATGTTACGGGAAGCCATTCAGAGCAAACGCCGTGAAGAACGACTCTTTGTTGTCTATCTGTGAGGTAGCTTTGGAACCAAGATAATAGAGATCCCCTGATTCCCAAAGTCTCAAGCTTACGCAAAAGAAGATGATGCGGTACTTTATCAAATGCCTTTGAAAAGTCCAGGTATATGGCATTAACTTCATTCCCACTTGCGACTGATTCCAGAATTTCATGGTATACTTCAAGCAGCTGTGTGGTTGTGGATTTTCCTCGTATAAAACCATGCTGCATTTGATAAATGTGTGGCTCGAGATGCTGGTAATAAATAATTTGAATTACAACTTATAATTAATATTATTATACATTTGTAAATATTTTTTTTCTCAAATCGAAATAATAATCAATTCCAATTTGTCATACATATTCAAGTTATTTTCAATTTTATAAAGAAAACAATAATTAAAATAACATAAAATGTGCAAAATATTCCTGAAAATAGCGGTGATAATGATGGGCCACCATACAACTATTTAGTAATTTTAATCAACTTTAAAACGATCAATTGTAAAGGCTTTCCAAAAGCTTAAAAAAATACAAGGCGGTGTTTGTATTCATATATAAGAACTTATAAACACTACTTTATATTTATAATAATTGCTAATATAAATTTATAAAAGCTCCGCGAGTAAACGCTGAACGTGTTCCCGGTTATTACAAAGGTAAACAATAGAGCTATTTATAGCCATAATTTATGAATTTTGTA